TCATTTAAAAATAACGATTCTGGAGTGGATGTTTGTCCTGCACCTCCCTTCGTGGAGTGCACGGGTTTGATTCGTTTCTCCAGCACCTAACTCCAGCTTCCATGCGTGCATACCCCCCTAGGCAGTGATGGTGGCTCAAGTCCTTGGTTTCCTGCCACTTATGTGGGAGACTGGATTGAGTTCTCAGCTCCTGGCTCTAGCCTGTAACAAAATATCCAAAAAATATGTGACAACTACTAATTTTATTTATATGGTTCGGAAATTCACTTATTTTGAACACCAAATCTGTAGTACTAAAAAAATTATTGTCAACCAATGCAAGCAATGTAAGCAACCCATGCACACAGTTCAAAAGTTTTCCTACCATGCTGGAGTGTCATGGGATAGTATCATGCCTTATCTTGATTTGCCTCAGTCAACACGAATATATCAGTGGTTCACTTTTGGTTAAGAAGTACTTTAGCGGCCAGTGCTGTGGTGTAGCTGGTAAAGCTGCCACCTGTGGACGCTGGTAACCCACATAGGCGCCGGTCCAAGTCCTGGCTGCTCCACTTCCAATCCAGCTCCCTGCTGATGTGCCTTGGCGGAGGATGGCCTAAGTGCTCGGGCCCCTGCACCCACATGAGAGACCTGGAAGAAGCTCCTGTTCTGGCTTCAGACCTGCCCAGCTTCAGCCTTTGCAGTCATTTGGGGAATAAACCAGCAGATGGAAGATCTCTCTTTGTCTCTCTCTGACTCTGTAAAACTCTGTCTTTCAAATAAATAAATAAGTCTTTTATTTAAAAAGAAGTTTGGAGAGAGCGCCGCGGCTCACTAGGCTAATCCTCCGCCTGCGGCGCCGGCACACCGGGTTCTAGTCCCGGTTGGGGCGCCGGATTCTGTCCCAGTTGCTCCTCTTCCAGTCCAGCTCTCTGCTGTGGCCCGGGAGTGCAGTGGAGGATGGCCCAAGTGCTTGGGCCCTGCACCCGCATGGGAGACCTGGTAGAAGCACCTGGCTCCTGGCTTCGGATCAGTGCAGTGTGCCGGCCGTGGCAGCCATTGGAGGGTGAACCAATGGTAAAGGAAGACGTTTCTCTCTGTCTCTCTGTCTCTCACTGTCCACTCTGCTTGTCAATAAATAAATAAATAAAAAGAAGTATTGGGGCCATCGCTGTGGTGTAGCAGGTAAAGCCACCGCCTGCAGTGCCGGCATCCAATATAGGCGCTGGGTTAAGTCCTGGCTGCTCCACTTCAGATCCAGCTCCCTGCTATGGCCTGGGAAAGCAGTGGAAGAAGGCCCAAGTCCTTGGGCCCCTGCCCAAGGGGAAGACCCAGAGGAAGCTCCTGGCTCCGGATCGATGCAGCTCCAGCCGTTGCAGCCAATTGGGGAGTGAACCAGCAGATGGAAGACCTCTCTCTCTCTCTCTCTCTCTGTAACTCTGACTTTCAGATAAATAAATCTTTAAAAAATTATTTTATTGGAGATAGAAGAGGAAAACACTGGAAATATTTATATTATATAATTTTAAAAATTGGACATATAGCATACATTATAAAAACATTTCCCTGTAAGAAAGATTTTTTAAAAGATTTATTTATTTATTTTGAAAGTCAGAGTTACAGAGACAGACAGACAGATATTCCATATGCTGTTTCACTCCCTAGACAGCCACCATAGCCAGGCCCAAGGCAGGCGCTCCATCCAGGTTTCCCATTTGGGTGGCAGGGGCCCAAGCACTTGAACCATCTTCTGCTGCTTTTCCTAGGCTGTTAGCAGGAAGCTGGATCAGAACTGGAGAAACTGGGACATGAATCGGCGTCCATAGGGGATGCCGACTTCACAGGTGGTGGCTTAACCCACTGCGCCACAAAGCTAGGCCCAGTGTCTTTTATGCTGTAGTGCAGCAGGTTAAGCTGCCTCCTGCAATGCTGTCATCGTATATCAGAGCACACAAGTCTTGGCTGCTCTGCTTCCAATCTAGCACTCTGCTAACGCACCTGGAAAAAGAATGAAAACAGCCCAAGTGCTTGGGCCCCTGCATCCTCGTGGGAGGACGCGGGGGAAGCTCCTGGCTCCTGGCTTCAGTTCGGCGCAGCTCCGGCCGTTGGGGCCAACTGGGGAGTAAACCAGCGGATGGAAGACCTCTCTCTCTCTCTCTGCCTCTCCTCTGTGCAACTCTTTCAAATAGATAAATGAATCTTAAAAAAAGAAAACAAAAACTGTTAAAATGTGATGTAACATTTGCAAGCCATAAACTAGATACAAAGGTGATATCCACACTTCTCTTTTTAATTCCAAAAACTCAAGAGTTCATGCCAGAAGGGTGAAGTGGTGGTGGCCAGGCTGAGATGCACTGTCCATACAGCTTTTAGGATAAACCTGTGACCCCTGTGTGCAGGTGATGTCGCTTTTTTTTCCAATACAAATAAGAAAATTCATTGTCAAATGATTACTTTTTTAAAATTGGAAACATTTGTTTACAATATCATTTTACATTTATTATATAAACTAAAATTTAATTCTACACATGCTTAAAATGTTTTTTTTTATCATAAATAATGCTTCATTGGTTGCTGAAAATGGTGAGCAACCACCTTGGCTATAATGCATTCTTCAGTGAATATACGGAAACACATTTGAGACAAATCACTTCCATGTCTTTCATAATCAGGCTATATATGTAGGAAAAGTGACATCCTCAACCCCACTTCACTGACTTTTGTTACTGACAAGTAACATTGTGTATAAGGTATTTGAATTATTTGAATGACAGTTCTGTAAAGACAGAAGCGGAGTCTTCAAAATCATTTGATTTTAAAAAAACTAAAAAGAATTTTAGCAGCTTGGATATGCTTAACCTGGGCACTCTACCACTCAAAGTGCTTCCAAAACCGGCACACTCACCTCTGGGGCTTTCCAAGCAGAAGTTTTAAATCCCCTAATCTTTTTTGAAAATAGAAGGTGGTGATGTTGGAAATGTGCCAGGAGTAAGGCTTGGTACTTCTCATGAAGTGCCACAGTGAAAGTACCTACCTGCTCCTGCAAGTCAGTTCCTTGTAGCTAAAGCATAATCTCCTCCAGCCCAGAGCACTCCTTTTTCCAGAACACTGTTCTCCAAATTCTGGCTAGCAACAGGCCAGAAAATTCATACTAATTTAGCACGCACTTGCAATCATCCCTATACTGTGACCAGGTGTACACTAGCACTAACGTAGGCAGGGGGGAACAGTGTGCTGTTGGAAAGTTCTTAACTTACCTATTAAATGGCAGAATTTTATCTGAAGACAGACTCTGATGAGTTGTTAATGCATATTACAAACTGAGTCGTGACTTTAAAAAATGAAGTATGAAATAAGGTAATGGAAGAAAAGTGGAATCCTAAAAAATTAGTCCAGAAATCATCCAAAGAAGGGAGGAAAACAGGAAAAAAGGACCAAAGGTGAAACACATAGAAAACACATACCAAGGTCATAGGCTTTAAACTTCACTACATCCTAAATTCACATTAAATGTGAATGCTCTGGGGCCGGCGCTGTGGCATAGCAGGTAAAGCCGCCGCCTGCACTGCTGTCATTATGGGCAGCGGTTCAAGACCTGGCTGCTCCACTTCCGATCCAGCTCTCTGCTATGGCTTAAGAAAGAAGCAGAGGATGGCCCAAGTCTTTGGGCCCCTGCACCCACGTGGGAGACCTGGAAGAAGCTCCTGGCTTGGGATCAGCGCAGCTCCGGCTGTTATGGCCATCTGTGGAGTGAACCAGCAGATGGAATACTCTGTGTGTGTGTGTGTGTGTGTGTGTGTGTGTGTGGTGTAACTGTGACTTTCAATTACAATAAATCTTAAAAAAAAAAAAAAATGTGAATGGTCTAAGTGGTCCCAAAGAAAGGCAGAGATTTTAAAACTGAACAAAATGCAAAGGTAAGGCCCAAGTATACATACATACATATATGTTGTCACTCTTTAAATAGATGTGGGAAGTTGAAAGGATAGAATGAGATACACCATGTGAGGGCTATATAGAAAGATAAACTGGCTGGATAATTAATGATCACAAAGTGGATTTCAGAACCCGAAATGATATCACCAGGGAGGACACGCAATAATGACAAAAGGCCGAATTCAGCAAGAACACATAATCCTAAATGTGCCTCAACTCAGTTTTAAAAACATGAAAAAATTATGACAGAACTGAAAGGGAAAATAGGCCATCACACTTATGGTTGGATATTTCCACACTTTTCTCAGAGCAAGTAGGCAGAAAATCACTAAGATAGACCACGTGTTGGGCCAAAAAAATAAGACAGGCAGATAGTTCCGGCACTCGGGACTCAGAACGCTTGTCCCGCCACGGGACAAGTACCCTCACAGAAACAGGGTACAAAGCAGCCGCACGCTGGGCCTCGGGCATTTGGTTAGTGCTGGACCGGAATATGGCCAACGAGGTGGCGGTGGCGAAAGCACAGGTCATGGCAGGTGCTTGCCGCAGACGCTGAGAGCTTGGTGGGGGCGAGGGGCAGAGACAGGGCTGGAGAGGAGGCCCAAAGGAGCGCCTAGGAGGCGCGGTGGGGGTGTGGGGGGGTATTGTGTGGCTGCTCAGTGCAGCGGTGACAGCAGGGACGGGGATCCTCCTGCCGTCAGTTCTCGCCGGTGGTGCTCCCTCCCGGGGGCCGACCCGGAGGCCTGGGGTGCGGAAGGCCGGGAGCAGCCGGTGCGCAGGGACTGCCCGGGGCGGCGCGCACCCTGGATTGCCGAGGGGAGGTCGCTCGCGGGCTGAACCGTGCGCCCACTGCCACCGAGCACCGGGAGGGGACCAGACAAAGGAAGCTTTGAGCGCGGCGAACCCTCCCCGGGCGCCCGGAAAGCAGAAGCCGGCGGACGGAGAGGCCGCGCCCCGCGTGCGGGCACCACCTGGCGGGCGCGGCCCGGCCGGAGGGGGGCGCAGGGCGGGCGGCGGCGCCGGGGCAGGTGCCGGGGCGGGGCGCGGCGGGGGCGCGGCGCGGCGCCGCGCGGCGGGGCGGGACGATCCGGGCCGAAGGGCGGCCGCGCCCGCGGGGCCACAGGGCCGCAGAGGCCGCGGCGCCCAGCCCGCCTGCACCGAGCCATGGCCCCGCGCGCCCGGCGGCGCCGCCCGCTGCCCGCGCTGCTGGCGCTGTGCGCGCTGCTCGCCCCGCTGCAGGTAAGGAGCCGCCGCCTGCACTGCCCGGGCCGGGCGCGCCGAGGCCCGCTGCCCGCACACACTCTTGTCGGAGTCCTGAGAACCTGGGGCCCCAGCCTGCGGGTCCCGAGGCGTTGGTGACAACCTGGAGGCTAAAGGTGGGGGAGAGGGAAGGCCATGGAGGACTCGGGCGCTTCGGGGCGACCCCGCTCTCCAGACAAGCCCTCTTCCCGAAGCCCGGCGCTGGGGGTATTCACTCTGCAAACACTCGCTGAGGGAGGAAACGCTGGAGCCGAGACCACGCCCACGCTAGAGAACAGTCCCGACGGCGGTCCCCGGGGGTCCCCGCGGGTCTCCCTGGGGCCGCACGCCCTCTCCCTACCCCACTTCCCCCCAGCCGCGCTGCCGCGGGACACACAGGTCAAAGACGCCGTCCTGTCCGCGTCGTTGCTCGTTCAGGTTCTGGGTCCGAAACCCGTTGAAACCTCTGCTGGGATCAGATATTTTGTTGTTGCACCTGGACAAAGCGGGGGACCCACGGAGTGCCTCAAGGCGCTGCCCCCAGAGCCCCGCTCGCCGTGGCCTCGCCCGGGGCGGAGGTGCAGGACCCGCGCTGCAGCCCAGGCCCCGCGGGGGCTCCCCCGGGCCAGCTACAGCGCCGTGGAGGGGCAGGAGGAGCCACCCTTGGTCAGCCAGATTTCCACCCCGAAAGAGCTCGAAGTCCCTTAGGCCCTGAGATTTGGAGGGGTGCGGGGGGGGGTGCCGTTGGTCCAGAACCCCACCACCCCACCCCGCCGCTCTTCCCCCCACTCTCAGCAACGCCTCGGGCTCACCAAGGCCTAAGCCCAAGCTCTGGGGGCGCTGAGATTGGGGGCGAGGGTTTCCCAGCCCCATCCGCTGACCACGGAGGTCTCTATCAAGTCGCTCAGTACAGTCTGCAAGAAAGCAGAGCCGGGGGCTGCTTCCTCCCGCGGGGCGGCGACCCCTCACGGATACTGCACAAGCCCGCTACGCTGAGAGCGCCCCCGGGAAGGGGGGGCGCTGGCGGTTTTCTGGGTTTCGGCACTGTCACATGTGCCTGAGGGGGTCGCCACTTGGTTTAGGGTGTGTTAAGCTCGCTGGCACAAGGGCCGGGGCAACCCGCGTGAGGTTAGAGCGGTGGAGAACGCTCTGTGCAGAGGCGTCTGCTGTCGGCTCCTGCTTCTTTCCCAGTTGCGCGGGCTTCTCCAGGGCTTGAGGGAAACGGAGGCGGAAAGACCTAATGGAATGGTTCCTTTTAGCACTTCAGGTGTTGCTTCATGAAGAGTTCAACAGGTTGAACAGGTGCCACCTTATTTGAACTAAAGGACTGGCGCTCCAGCGTATACTGAGAAAAGCCACCTGAGAAAAACCTGCCTGGCCACTGAGTTTAAACGTGTCTCGCACTGCCGTGGCAGAAGCAGCACACATAGATACATATGACATCCATGCATACATACGGCATCCATGCATGCATACATCATCCATGCATACATACGGCATCCATGCAGTCTTTTCTTTTCTTTTCTTTCTTTCTTTTTTTTCTTTTTTTTTTTTTTTTGACAGGCAGAGTGGACAGTAGGGGAGAGACAGAGAAAAATGTCTTCCTTTACCATTGGTTCACCCTCCAATGGCCGCCACGGCCAGCGAACCACACTGATCCGAAGGCAGGAGCCAGGTGTTTCTCCTGGTCTCCCATGCGGGTGCAAGGCTGAAGCACTTGGGCCATCCTCCACTGCACTCCCTGGCCACAGCAGAGAGCTGGCCTGGAAGAGGGGCAACCAGGACAGACTCCGGTGCCCCGACCGGGACTAGAAGAACCCAGTGTGCCGGCGCCACAGGCGGAGGATTAGCCTATTGAGCCTTGGTGCTGGCCAGCAGTGTTTTCATAATGTGTGTCTTCCACGACTTTGCAAGACCCCTCATATGCACGGATTGCAAATTACCGCACTGAGACACGCTTGTCTTTTAATTCCATTTTCCACAGACTTCTTGAAGTACTCTCATGCATACATATGTAAAATGTGCAAGGTTCTACTGCTAACAGCAGATGCTAGCGAAACAAGTCTAATTCTCAGACCTTCACACAAATGCTAATTCTCTTCCAGTTCCCTTTAGGCCATTTAAATTTTCTGTATTTTTAATCATGTCCAAGTTTTTGCATTGGTCAGTTCCAATCAGATGATACTGGGATGTTTTTCTGTTTATTTTAATTTGTGCTTGACCTCTCAAATGTAAATGTTTCCTCTGAAAAGCCAAAGTAGATATAGTATTACAATATTATCCTCAAGAGATTCATTGGGACAACATTATCTTCATGTTACAATATTCAGGAGATGTTGTTTCAAGTAGTTTGATGTTGGCTTCTTGGGTCAACCCATTTTATTTCAAAAATTTAGGAATTATATTAACAATCCGCTGATGTCTTTAATGATCACCTCTCGGGCGAGGATTGAGGAACTGTTCAGTGAGGGGATTGGTTTTGCAAAAGAGTGGTCAAAAATTCTAGAAAGTGTGTCCTCTGCAAGTGTTGGCTTAGTTTTGTTTCTACTAGATAGATTCAGACTGACCTGGAAGCGCTATAAATTCGGACTTTTAAAACATTTCTGTGATTGTATCTCTGCTTGTGTTTGTGGAGGAATTTCTTCCTGGACATAAGACCATTCCAAAAAAAAAAACCAACACCCACTTTGGGTTGTTATACGGATGCAGCTTACTTCAACTGAGAAAATTGTAGCAGCACAGTTTTCATTAAGGTAACTGTTTCACCAGCCCCGCTTGCCCCCGCTCATCTGCAGCCTAAAGCAGTCACATTGGAAGCCAGGACAGCAGCCGCTGATGGGTGAAACATTGCGCGGTTGAGAAGCAAGAGCCACCGGCATGGACAGGGGTGGACAGGACCGGCCAGGCAGTACAGGGCCCATGGGGAGAAATGCGGGGGGCAGGGAGGGAGCGAAGGGGGCTGGGAGTGCAGCCGGAGCGATCAGGGAGGACTTTGGAGGAGGAGGTTTCTGAAGTGGGCTTCCAAGGGTGCACAGGAAACCCAGGGTCGGGCAGGAAACGATTCCCAGATGGGTGCCGAGGAAAGCCTTTGAGGGCCAGAGGATGGCGTGAGTGATTTAGGCTGCAAGGACTCGTGCCAGGCGAAAAGCCATGTTTTTATGACCTTCCCACGAGCACAAAGCGCTTAATTCAGAAAACCCGACGGAACAGACGGAGCATTAAACTTTTATAGTGTTGCGATAACTCGCGGATGGCCCTCGTGGAGGTGGTGAGGTGAGGGAGCGCGAAGACCTCTGGGGAGACCCCTGCGAGGAAATCCCCTGGGGTGGGGCTGGGCTCCAGGGGAGTGGGCGCCGGCGCCGCCCCAGAGGGGAGGGAGACATGGTTGTATGCCAACGCCTTCCTGGGAACAGACACGGCGGGCTGGGGGCCGTGAGTCTGCTTTGCTGATAAATATTTCAGACACGTCCCCTGTTGCTTCCTTTCCCCCCACGGAGCCCACAGACAGCAAGTCTGCAACACAAACACGTGCCCTGCCCCGCGTTGATAAGGAAATGTGCGTTTGCCTTGGCAGTTACCTCCCAGTAATTCTTACACCAGGAAAACTGAAACAACAAAGATGTGTCTTTGGAGGTCAATAAATCAGTGTTTTATGAGGCCACAGAAAGGGGAGTTCCAGCCCTGGGGCCTTTGCAGAACTGTTGTTTCAAGAAGGTGGAGTGTGAGCCCCATCTGCCATGTCAGTATTAAAAGTCCCCCCAACTGGCTTTTCCTATTTTTGAAGTGTATGGAAAAAAAAAAAAGTGGTGTTTTTTTCCCACAGAGCGTGTCCAGTGAGCTCCGGGAATGCTGTCTGTGCTGGGTTTTTTTTGTTTTGCTTTGTTGGGTTTTTTTCTGGCTTTTGCCCTGATGGTCCGTGGCTGTCCAGGTGGTTCACCCCCTAGGGCAGCCACCACCGGCCAGGTGCTGTCTGCCTGCGGCGCCGTGGCCCCAGGCCACAAAGGAGGCACAGGTCCCTGACTCCGCCTCTGTACATCCCAGGACTGGCATCGAGGATCCTGCTCAGCGGGTGATCCTTCCTCCAGACACCTTCCCACCCTCCACCGGCTTTACAGGAAGTCCTGTCTGTGTTTCCTCCCATTGCAGTGCGTGGGCTTTCTCGGGTGTGCACACAACTTAGGCTTACCTCATCCTTTCTGCCCCCCAAAACATTGAGCTTGAAGAAAGCAAGAGGGAGCGGCAGGCTCCAGCACACAGCCTTGGCCTTTCTGAATTTCTTGAGGTCTAATGCCGCGTGGGTGCTGAGCGGGACTGTGCACAGCCCGGGTCCTCTGTCCTGATTGCGAGAGACGCTCAGGGTCTGTTTCCTGCCCGTGAGGCGGCCCGACTTTGCTCCCTGTCTGTCGCAGTCACTGGAGGGCTGGCTGGCCCGGCTGGTCTCAGGCAGTACGTTCCAGCCGCAGTATGTTTCAGAGCAGGAAGTCCCAGCCAGCAGTGGGAAGAACATTCTTTACGGCTCTGGGGTGACAACTTTGTCACCAACTTTGTCGGCCACCATCAGCCTGTGACTGCTGGTGACTGCCACATGCAGGGCTTAGAGTTTGGTAATGAGAACTCAGACTGAATTTGTGCTAAATGCATTCATTTTTTTGGTAATAGTCTGCAGTGTGCAACGAGCTAAGTAGACAAAGACCAAGGTCACTTAGGAGACTGGAGGTTGGATGGGCAGACACTGAAGATACAGCAGGACACAGAGTTCCTGCAACCATTTTTCGGCTGGCATGGGCCTCTGGGACTAGGGGTGCCTCCCCGTGAGACTGCTGGGAAAGATCTCTCAGTCTTCCATCCTGGCCGGGGGTCTCAGGATGGCTGGTGCTTCATCCGATGGCGGAAACAACAGCGGGGCAGAACAGAGTGGCGTGTGCAGGGAGCTACAAACAGTACAGAGTGCCTGGACTTGGAGTGGGGCGGGGGGGGGGGGGGGGGAGGGGGGAGGAAGG